ACCTAAATTTTGATTTTACAAGGCAATAAAGGAAGGGTCAAACTATTTGCCTGAGAGTAGAGTTCATGAGCCAATTATTCAAAATTTGTTTTGCTCACTTAAAAATATTCCTAAAATGTGTTTATGAGGGTCTAAGACTAATCAATGAGGCATAGACCCGAGAGCACATTTCCCAGAGGAACTGTATAATGTGCTGGATGGTAGAGGGAATATTTTCTATGGTCTGGATTCTCTGTGGAAGATTTTCAAGAGGGCCTAAGAATGTAGGGGCTAGTTCTGAGCCGGGAGCTGTTTGCACTGCTAGATTAGGAGAAAGTGAATTAACTGGAACCGTGTGATATTCCAAATGAGGGGTCGGCAATGGGGTAAATTATTCCCCTGTAATAGGCCAGGACGGCAGAGTTGATCTGGGGTATCATTAGTGAGAAATGTGTGGCCAAAGAGGGTGGTTTTGCGATCTTGGGAAAATCAGCGCTTCTCATTGGGGCTGTGTGGGGCGAAGGCTCATAAACCCTGTACCTGAAAATCATGGAAGACGGGAAATGAGCCTTCAAAGCTGCACAGCCTTAGCCTCAAAAGTTAATGCTTTTGTGTGCTGATGGTGGACCATGAAGATGTGAAATTAAGAAAGAGATGTAGGGGGGAAAGGGATTGGGATAAAAAGGTTCAGGGAAAGGAGAATAAAGCTACACATGTCTTTTTGTCTTCCTTCCTTTATCTTTTGTCTTTTTGAGACAGGGTCATGCTATGCAGTTCAGGCTGGCCTTGAGCTCACTTTGTAGCCCAGACTGGACTCTGGACTCAAAACTATACCTTTGCCTCATCCTCCTGAGTGCTGGGATTACAGTAGTGTGCCAACACACCCAGCCATACTTAGCTTACTCTTTTTTTTTTTTTGTGAAAGAAAACATTTATTGAATCAAAATCAATACTTTCTTTTTAATATCTACAAGCCAACACTGAATTCACTTTATTCAAGAATGAACACAATGTACAAAAAAAGTATGTTTATATTATAAAAATATGTCCATTTTATCTTCAGGGTGCTGAGCCGAAGTCGTTTTACACAACATCAAGGCCGACTGCTGTGCTCAGGAGCCCGGCCTGGCCCTGCGCTTCTATCCGCAGCTGTTAGCATCCATTTCAGCAAAGCATAACAAGAGAAGGAATTCTGAGAACCGAAAGCCTACTTATGTGATCAGCTTCAATTTAAACTGAGCGCCCCTGCCTGGCCAGCCCAGCGCCGCCCTCACAGCGTGCGGCCGTGCAGCCCTGGCCAGCCGGCCAGCTAGCGGGACGGGGAGCGCAGGCCAACAGCGCCCGCCAGGAGCAGGGCTGCCCGAAGCGCTGGGGGACAGAGCTGCGCTCAGCCCGGAGCCACGCGCGCCCGGTGTGCCCGGCCGGGGGTGGGGGGTGGGGGGGGGCCTGCAGCGGCAGACTACGGGCATCGGGTCCTCCGCGCCTGCTCTGCTGGGCAAATCAAATTGAGAAATGCTGTTTTACTTACATAAACCAAACATTTCTTGAGCTACCTGTTTAACAAGAACCTGGGACTAAGATTTTCCCTGGGAAAAAGGATAAATGAAGGCAAAAGAGAAAATTATCCTCGTTCCTCTATGCAAGGGACGTAGCTCACTAAGTTTCCATTAAGCCCCATTTCCTGCATGAAAATGTTAATCCTACCAAATGTAGATAGGTCTGAATTAGGATTTAAACGTTTTAATACTACAAACTACTGACTCAATCTGACCCTATGCTTTATTATGAAGGCGAACATTTACAGAAATATTTGAAATACACGAAATTTGTGAAAAAGAACAGTTTAGAACCTGAGCAAAGGCCTCTCACCATAAAAAGCCACCTGGAGGTCGTTCTCACAGGCAGCGAGTCCGCCAGGTCAGCGTGCTGCAAGCCTCTGCGGGTCTGCCGCCAGGAGCACAGGCCTGAACTTCGACACCCCGCTGGCAGAGACAGCTGGACCAGAATATTACACGTGAAGCCCAGCGAAATTCAAACAAGTACACAAGGAATGAAGGGCTCACGGAGGAAGCCGTAGCTAGAATGGGACAGGACGAGCCTCAGCGCACCACGCAGACACAGCCACACCTGTTCACAACCACAGGTCCTTGCTCTCAAATACACTGAACATTTACAACAAAGGAAGGCCTCCGGCACGCAAGCTTTTCTCTTATCACAACTCTAGTTCAACAGACCAAAAAGCCAAGACAGCTAAAAATAAGTTAGAGTTAGCTCCCTCTGGGAGCCCGGACACGGCTGGGGCCACAGCCAGGCTCTGACAGCAGCAGTGTCATCAGCCCAGGCAGAAGAGACACGCCGCCTCTCAGGCCACCAACCCAATTCCTAGAGCATGCAGACATCTACTCTGCTCAAGTTTCAAACAAAGAAAGGGTGACTGTGCTTGCAGGTCACATACCTTCCAAAATACACACTAAGGTGCCAAGTTAACAAATGACAGGGTTGCAGCCTAACAGGGAACGCGTAAGGCGGAGGGCTGGAGGCAGGAAGCAGGTGAGCAAGGTGGGAGAGCTGCAGGCCGGGGCTACAGTCACGGAGCACAGCATGCTAAGGCAAGGCCCCGCTGGTGACGCCTGGACGCTGCAGGCCTGGCCCCGGTGCCGCCTGCCTGCGGGGACGCGCGTGCGTCTACGGCCGGCGGCATCCTCAGGGCTGAAGGCCACGTCTGGCCGGCCGGGTCATTTTGAGGAAGGGAAATGCGTCCTCACGCTTCTTCTTTTGTAATTAACATTGAAAGAATGCAATCACAAGACAACAAAATGGTAAGACTAGTGGTCAGAGGAGATATCAAAATTCATAATGACGCCAGACGCTACCCCGCCGTGGTGTCCACGAGCTGCACTTGCAAGCCGGCCACCATCCCCACGCTGTAGCCTCCCTTGGACTGCATCTGGCTCTGGATGGAGCTCACTGAACAGGTCTCCTGAGCCGACATGAGCCGTGTGCACAAAGTTCGTCGGTTCTCCGATCATGCTGCGGTCAATTCGTCGCTGCCTTTTAGGCTGAGGCTGCTCCGCAATGTAGCAGTTGAAACAGCCAGAATTCACTCATGCTTTCAGTTCAAGATATAAATGAGCACCAGTGATGGTTCCAAGCTCACTTCTGGAAGCTTCACAAGCTACGGTCCTCAACAAGAGAAATGCCCAATCCAAGGAACAATTGTGTATCACCATCTTGGAAGTCAAACTTATATAGTCAAAGAAGTAGGTTGCTTCCTTTCTTTGTCCCTGGTTCTCCACAAGCCTTTCTAATTCAGCACAAAGGTGTAAAACTGTTGTCTTGACACAAAGCCTTCAGCAAGTAGCCTGCAATCCCTACACTCGGGAGGCAGAGGCAGGAGAATCACTGTGAGTTCCGAGATGGCCTGAACTGCATAGTAAGACCTCTCACCTTTGTCTCACCGCTCACTCGGCCCGGCACCGCGGCTCCTGCTGCCCCACGCCCGCAGTCACGCTCCCCGGCGCATTCCCCTTAGTTTATTCTTTATCTTTTTTATTTATTTTATTTTTTTTTTTTAGGTCAGGGTCTTACTGTGCAGTTTGGGCTGGCCTGGAACTCACTATGTAGCCCAGGCTGGCCTCAGAACTCAGGGAACTCACCCTACTTCAGCCACCTGAGCCCTGGGATCACAGGTGTGTGCCACCAGGCCCAGCTTTCTTTACTTTAAAAAATAAGGATCTGTGCTGCTAAATTGGTCCAGCGGGGCTTAAATTTGTGATCTTCCTGACTCAGCCACTCAGAGCTCGCGGCTCCTAGGTGTGAGCTGCCACACGTTACTTTTACAGGATAGAATTTTAAGAGAATTGTAGTATCCTTTGGGGCCTGGGAGATGGCTCAGTAGAATAAGCGCTTGCCTGGCAAGTGCAACAGCCTGAGTTCAATCCCTGGTTCAAAAAAAAAAAAAAAAATCTAAGTAAATCAGACCTGCATGTGCAAACGTCCTATTGTCCTCCTAGTGAAAGAAACTGAAAGCATGAATAAAACCCAAAAGTTACAATAGATATTGTGAAAAGGAAAGAAACTTTTCAAAAAGAAAGAACAACTTGGATGGGGGAAAAGAGAAAGGAAAGAAAGAAGGGGGAAGAAACATTTTATATATATATATATATATATATATATAGGATAGCTTGGAAAAATCTAATTTCTATTGGTTTATTGAAAGGAAAAGTTAATGTCTAATTGATCACTTTTGCATACTTATATCTGATAATCTGAACAACTACTTTAAAGATAACGATGTGTAATATATCAACCATCACTAATTTCCTATTGTTTTAAAAGTCTGTATCATTTTTATTCTAGTCTCTTAAAAAGAGAGAGAGAGGACGTCTGTCTCTGGCTGGTAGCACATACCTATAATCCTAGCCCTCTGGGAGGCGGAGGCGGCAGGTTTATTGGCCTCTATGCTAGGCAAAATAATGACCTAGCAAAACCCTGTTTCATAAACAAATAAATAAATAGGCTGGTGCTATAGAAAAGAAAGGTAAACTTGAAGTTCAATTTTAAAAGAAAAAATAAAACAAAATTTCAAAACAAGGATGCTTTGTTTTGTTTTTTGGCTGGCTTAGGCTGCCTTAAAGTCAGGTCTCAGTGCGGCATGTGGAGGATCGAACCGCGGTCCCCCACGCCTGACTGACTTTGCACAAGCATGCACTTTAATCAACTAAGCTAACTGGCAAGCCCTCAAAACAAGATAATAGGAGGGTAACAATGGTTAAAAATTGTGTATTGCTGTGTTTATATTAGTTATTCAGAGTACAAGATATGGACAAATAGTATTAGCACAAACCTTTCTTTCCAATGAACTAAGAGAAATTAGTAGTGTAACTATCTTTAAGAGGAGACCATGTCTTTAGCCAGGTGTGGTGGAACATGCCTGTAATCCCAGCACTTGGGAGGCTGAGGCAGGAGGATTGTTGCAAGTTCGATACTAGGCTGAGCTACAAAGTGAGCTCCAGGCCAGTCTGAGCTGCACAGTGAGACCCTGTCTCAGAAAAACAAAACAAAACAACCAGATGAAATCTTTGTAGACCTTTGAGGTATAAAAATTAGAAGTATCATATTTCTTAATTATGAATTTTTTTTTTTGTGGAACCTGGGATTGAACTCAGGCCCTTGCGCTTGCCAGTCAAGCGCTTATTCTACTGAGCCATCTCCCCAGCCCTAATTACGAATTTTTAAAATCCTACATTTTATAGTGTTATATAAGTGGTGATCAAAAACGTGAATGTTTAAATTAAAAATTAATAGAAACTTCTAAGAACAATGGGGTGCTTGAAGTGATAAAATTATGAAAATTTGAGGGGGATAAATAGCAGTATTTTTTTTACTGGTATTTTAAAAATTTAAACTGCACTATTTCTTGATCACCCCCATATATCATCTTCATCCTCCTCCTCCTCCTCATCATCATCTTGAGACTGGGTCTCACTATGTACTGAAAGTTGGCCTTGACCTCACTTATGTAGCGCAGACCGACTCTGAACTCAGGGCAGTCCTCTTGTCCAACTCCCGAGCGTTGGGTTACAGGTGTGTACCACCACACTGGACTTCCTCATAAATTATTTTGTGTGTCTGAAACTTCAAAATAAATGTTACATTCCTTTAACATCCAATTCTCTACCTGCCTCTGCTCACAGAAACAAGCTCTATTTGGAGGCTCTCTTCCGGGAGAATCCCCTTTGATTTTGAGGAAACCTCTTGGAGGACGGAGTAGACACAGAATTGGAGGTTTTAAGGAAGCAAAAGCACCGCTGTGCATCTGGAGCGAGGAGAAGACGGTCACAGCGTGAGGGTGGCGGGAAGGCACCGGCTGGGAAGGCTTTTGGCAGCCACGTCCCGTGAGGCCGTGTTATTCCAAGTGCAATGAATGACGGCAAACTTTCCTGAGGTTGCACCACCTCCCGATCACGAAGGGTCCCTTGCAGGTCGGTGGTGCTAAGGACTGCGCAGGGAGAGAGGACTGTCACTAGAGTAAGAGCCGCGTGACTCTCCAGAGTCTCCATTCTTCTCTTCCAACCGGCCAAATTTTTACGGTATTTGAAAATAGGTGGAAACGCATATTCCTACAGACAACTAGGTGAGATAAAAACGCTGTAGGTATCGCTTCTCGGCCTTTTGGCCAAGATCAAGTGTAAAAACGCTGTAGGCAGTGGGTGGGCCCTGGGAAGAGTCCAGGCAGAAGGTCAAAACAATGTACAGCTGTGGAGCGGAGCTTCTGCGAGAGCCCGGGGCCTCAAGAGTGGGCCTATGGGTCACACCTGGCCTAAAGACTCACCTTGGGGCAGGGGAGATGGCGCAGTGGAATAAGTACTTCCCTGGCAAGCAATCGCAAGGGCCTGAGTTCAATCCCCGGTTCAGGAAAAAAAAAAAAAGACTCACCAGTCACCCCCCAATGGGACCCCAGATCCCTCACCTACCTAGGTACCTACCCACCTGAGGTCTTTGTTTCTTCCCTTGCCCGCTGGCTGAGTGACCGGCTCCTCCCCAGCCATCAATATTACCTAAGCAGCTGTTCTCACAGTCTTATTGGTCAGTCACAGCTGTAAAACACAGGGCACCCACGCGGGTTTTGCTATTTAAAATTTCTCTAGACGTAAGGTCCCTGGGCCAAAGCTCAAGATTTCTCTATAAATTCCTACTCTTAACTTCTGTTGTTCCTAAAATCAATTCTTGTATTTTAGAGAGCACGAACTCTGCATCTCAGACATCTAACTGTGGGAGTTCGATTTCCTTTATATCATGTTTGGAGGTTGGTAACATCTCGTATCAATATAACTATGCAGTCCTCAGGGTGGAGCGACCTAGCCCAAGCCTTAGCACTCTGGGCCCTGGTGGTGGTGTAAGTGGGAGCTCGGCCTGAGCAATTTAGCGGGACCTCATCCCAAAATAAAAAAAGGGCTGGTGATGTAGTAGTTCATTGCAAAACCCTGGGAACAATCCCCAGTTAGCATTTTTTTTTCCTATTTTTATGTTTAAACCTTTCTATAGCGCTATTTAAATAAAAAAGACAGTAGTGAAATAAAGCAAAATTATTGGGTCGATGCCTCAGTCCATGCAGCTTAAAGTTATAGAAGAGAAAAAGCCTTTCCGGTTTCTTAAGTATTTCGATCCAGTATTTTTTTTCCTCGTTGCGACCTTCCCGCGAAAGGGCCGTGGGCGGGCGCTGACCGCTTCGCTTCCTCTGATTGGCTCTTCTCTCACACCCCGCCCCCGCGGCCGCCAATTGGGTCATCAGTTATGGTTTAAACCGCGGTGCAGCCTCGAGGGCTGCAGCTTCTGAGTTTGGCTGTTGGAGCTCGGTGCGTGAGTGCAGGGACGCGCGGGTGGGCGGGTAGGGGCGCAGCGGGACTCGGGCTTCTCGGGGTCCCGGGCTCAGAGCTGAGGGGTGCCGGCCCTGCCTGCCTGCGCTGCAGCGGCGTGGAGCCTCTGCCTGGCCGGCCGCGTCCGAGCCCGGCCGAGCTCTCCGTGCTATGGTTTTGGGTGGACGCGCCTGGTAGGAAGTTCGGTCTGCGCGGCAGCTGCTACTCTTCTCCCCAGAGCCGGTGACCGACCTACACGCCTTGCCCGCAGTGCAACCCAGGATGGCGACTCGAATCTTTGTGGATCAGGAAAACGGAGAGCCTGGCGCCCGCGGGGGCCCAAAGGAGGCGCTGAAGCTGGGGGCCGGGCCCGGTGAGCGCTCGGGCTGCGCGCCGGTCGGGGCTGGAGTCGCGGGCGAGGCTCGGGCCGGCCCGCTTCTGGTGCACTTTGGGATGATTAGCCAGGGTTGTTACCCTTGGAAGCTCGGTATCTTAAAGGGGGGTCTTACGAGAGTAGTGAGCTGCGCCTCTGCCGAGTGTGGGTCAGGTTTGGGTGAGGGTTAGGTCGGGTTCATGCGCACGAACTGCGTTGGGCTGCGAGGCCGGTGACTGGCTTGGCGTTCTCCGGGTTCTCCTTATCTCTGCAGTCAAAGCCTTAGATGGGCGGTCTCAGGTTTCGACACTGCCTGTAGGCAAGATGTTCGGTGCTCCACCACCCTTGCCTAAAACGGGCCGGAAGGCTTTGGGAACTGTCAACAGAGCTACGGAAAAATCAGGAAAGAGTAATGGACCGCTCAGACAAAAACCGAACTTCTCTGCCAAAAAGGTAAGTGTTGGCTATAAAGACACTGTTTAAACAAAAAATAAAAAGACACTGTTGAAACACTTAAACACTTTTTTTTCTTTGCGGTACCGGGGATTGAACTCAGGCTCGTGCGCTTGCCAGGGAAGCGCTTATTCCACTGAGCCATCATCTCCCCAGCTCCCATTTAAACACTTTTGACTCTTAAAATGATTATTGGCATCTTGCCTGACTTTCCCCTTTGAGTGGAAGAGAAATGGGTGTTAGCAAACATAGGTGGACAGAGGAGAATCGAACTCAGGGGCTTCTGTATACCTACAGATTGGAAATCTTAGAAGTAATTAACATAATTTTGCCTCATCTGTGCTTAACTAGCACCTAAAAGCAGATTGGTGGGTGGTGTCTAGTTACAGAAAGTACTAAGAGAGGATGGCTCCAAGGGGTCTAGCTGCTGTTACTATTCAGGTACCACCTCTGCTTCCCTGTATTGAAAGTGGAAAGGACCTTTCCTGGGACCCTCATCTTTGTGAGTGTGGTCAGTTACAGGTCAGTGTGTCCCAAGCAAGGAGCATTTTGCCATGAAAGGTGTTAGCCTATGGTTTAGGGCCTTGAATATTTCAGTGTGTGTTAACAAACAGACCCATGACTTTCATGTAGGTTTTTTTTGGTGGTACTGCGACTTGAACTCAGGACCTTGTGCTTGCCAGGCAGGCACTTGTTCTACTGAGCTATCTCCCCGACCCTTATGTAGTGTAGCATAGGACTATTTTATCTTTTTTTTTTGGTTGTTTTTTGTGGTTTTTTTTTTGGTGGAACCGAGGGTTGAACTCAGGGCCTCGTGCTTGCCAGGCAAGCACTTATTCTACTGAGCCATCTCCCCGGCCCTCTATTTTATTTATTTGTAGAAAAGTGAATTGAATTAGAAAAAAATGTTAAACACAGGTGCAGAATGATGGAAGAATAATGAGAATGTTGCCCAGAACTAAAGTGTGGGAAACTCTGTGGCTGAGTTTTCCTCCAAGTGTGCATGAGGGAAGCAAGGGAAAGTCTTAAGAATATTTGGGCTTTGTTCTGGCATATGACAATTCTTCAAAGGCCCTGGAATGTCTTTAGTTTTTTGTTTTGGTCTTTTTGAGACAGGGTCTCACCATGCGGTTAAGGTTGGCCTTGAGTTCACTTTGCAGCCCAGGCTGGTCTCAACTGGCAGTTGTCCTCCTGCCTCAGCCTCCTGAGTGCTGGGATTATAGGTGGGCATCACCACACCTGGATTTTAGTTGCTTCTTATATCTGTTTGGGGAACAGACTTGTTCATGTTAACCAAGAAAATACAGTTAAGATAGTATTGGTTCACACTTTTTTTTTTTTTTTTTTTTTTTGCAGAATAGGGGATTGAACTCAGGCCCTTGCGCTTGCCAGGGAAGCACTTATTCCACTGAGCCATCTCCCCGGTCCCAGTTCACTCTTTTGTAAACCAAAACTGGCTTCAAGGATTAGCTACTTTGCTGGGCAATTCATGCCCATTTTCTCCTCTTAGGTTTGGGTGATAAGGTTGATTAGCTCTGAATGAACCCTGCTCAGCATTCATGATAACTTATGCTGACAGGTGCTAATACTTACATTTTTGACTTGATTTGTGTGTCAAACTACTAGAAATACATTTATGTGTGAATTTTTAGGTATAATCATATCTATATGAAATTGAAAACTTTACATGGTGAGGCAACTGCTTGAAGGGGGCCTGCAGCCTGTTGTTGTTTTCATTTGCTAAAGCTGTGATTCTCACTAAGCCATATTTTCTTGGGCGGTTCTAGGTCACGGAGAAGACCGTCAAAGCACAAAGCTCTGTTCCTGCGTCTGACGACACCTATCCAGAAATAGAAAAATTCTTTCCCTTCAATCCTCTAGGTAGTATCATTTTGTATGAGTGAAAAATGCTTTTGGCCTTTAGTTTCTTGTGGAATTCAACTTGACTGCATCTTGATTATCATATATAACCCACACTACAGGGAGTCTGAATCTACCTTTGAGTATACCCACTATGATTAGAAAATCCAGTTCATGTTAAAAATTAAGAAGACAACCCACCTTAATAGCAGTTTTTACTATAGTACCCTTGCAAATGATTCCAACATGCTTATCCCACCGCTCTTTGCCACTTTCTGAGTTCTGGAAACCACCTTCCAGGGCCTTGGCTGGCTTCTCTTGGCTGTGATGTCCTGAGTTGACCCAGATGCTTACTTTTCAAGGTCATGTTGGGTTTGAGGAAGAGCCCAAAGTGGCATGGTGTCCAATCTGGTGAATCAGGCGAGTGAGGACACTGCATTGCCAAAAGCACTAATTGCTTCAGAATGTTCAGTTACATAGACATATGGAAGAAGACTTCCAGAACTGCTGCTTTACCCCTGGTATACTTGGAATTTTGCTTTCTTTTTTTGCTTTTTGTCTTTTTGAGATAGGATATTGTTATGCAGCTCAGGCTAGCTTTAAGCTCATTTCATATCACCCAGGCTGGTCTCAAACTTGCAAGGATCCTCTTGCTTTAGCCTCACTTCCCGAGTGGAATGCTGGGATGGCAGGTGTGCACCACTATGCCTGGCTGAAAATTCTCTTTATTTGGCCAAATGTCAAAAATCTGTTGTGTGCATCGTACCTGGTTTGGTTAATGCAATTAGAGATGACAACTTGGGCTCATGCAGCTGTGTAGTTAGGAGGGAGCGAGTGTGAGCCTTTTCTGAGTGATCCAACACTAAAGCTCTACAAGTGACCTAGTATGAACATATCTGTAGTGTAGAATCTGAAATCATACATGAACACTGTGTATTCTGGTGGTCAAATCCTTTGGTCTGTTCTGCCTTTGAGCTGTATCTTTTATCCTTGTATTTATCATGTGTTGACCACCTAGAAGTAGTGGAGATATAGGTGTCCAAATGTGGAAACCTTTCATTATGTAACTTCAAAAACTCCAACATTACCATTGATGTCATCAGAAAAGTTTGAGTGGGCTGGGGAGACAGCTCAGTAGAGTAAGTGCTTGCCTGGCAAGCGCAAGGTCCTGGTTTGATCCCTGGTACTACCCAAAAGAAAAAAGTTTGAGCTAATGATTGCAAGATAAGTTTCCAAAACTAATGTCAAATTATTGCTAAGTTTTCTACAATTCTAATTATTTTGTGATACTTTAATTCTGTCATTGGCAACAGAAAATTGTTTCTCTTTGAAATAAGACTTCATTCCTTTGAGAAAGGTTGTAACAAATACCCATGTTTGAGGGCCCACAGCTTATCTTTGAGTTGTTCTTTCAAGTTAAAATGGTGTTTCTGGAAGAAGTCTTCTAATAAAGCTTGCAACTCGTATAATTGCATAAACCTTTTTTTGTATTTAGTACAGGGCCTGCAGGGTCTCACTACACAGATCAGACTTAGTGATCCTTCTGTTTTCAGCCTCCCAAGTGCTGGGATTACAGGTGTGGGCCACCA